AGCTAGTTGCCATCGCCTACCGCTTTGCCAGGCACCTACTCTCCATCGTAACGACAAGTTAAAGTGTATTAGTCTAATATCTATTTCACAGGTTTAATGACTTCACTCTAAAGCATTAAGGGTATAAAAAAATCTCCAAATGGATATTACCACAATTTGCATTTGTGAGAAAAGTGGGACAACTTTCTTTTACAAAGTCAGAATGGGTGCAATCATTATTTTATTTTTGGTCCCTTGAAGGATCCCTGCCCTTTTTGGAATGCAATAAAGAAGAGTAAACAAGAATGACTGATTTAATTTTTTTCATTTTATCTAACACTCTACAAGTATGTCTTAAATACAGGCAGTACCTAGTTCATCCAGAACATCAGGTAGAGTGGTGTCTACGTCTCCAACAACCTTTAAGATACAAATAAATAATGGATGTAAGACAGATTATTTTACCATACAGACCAATCATCCAATAAAGGTAGAAAACACTAATTAAAGCTCTTTAAAGTCTTGTTTTTTATATAATAACAATATCATACCTGTCCAAAGATTTTGTAAAGTGGTTCCAGGATGAACTCAACAAAACTTCTGTGAGAAGTACTTAACGGAGCTTTACGTGTAAATTTCCTCCTGTAACCAAAAGTGAAAAGTGCTAATAGTCAAAACATAGAGAGCCGAACACCATGCCTAAGAATATGATTGAAGGTTATCTGGAAACCGCCGCTGGTTGACTAATCAGACTGAAATGCTGACTGCAATTTGCAAGACAAAAGATTTATTTACATTGATATGTTATGCACATGTCAGCTTGCATTCCTCCTTGTGCAAAGTGATGTTATAGACAATCCACACAAGTAACTCTCAATATTGTAATGACAAAGGTTGATGCAGTATGGTGCACCTTTTCTGATAGTTCGATAAACATGATGCATTGTGGTCTAGCTTGGGTACCAACATCTTTTGTCCATCAAGCCTTATATGGTGTTGTTTGTACTGAATTTAGACCACAATGCATCATGTTTATCGAACTCATGAAATGCTTATGGCCACCCAGCTACCTTTTTAAAACTTAGCCAACCTGGAAGTAGGCTCTCTTCCATACTTTATTATGGTTTATGGGCAGGTTTAATTCCATTGAGGAAGTAGATTAATTAAAGGCGTTTAGGTCATTTGAAAAGTTTGAATTAAAACTGACTTACGTTTTTGAATTGAAGTACATGTCACCCCACAGTCGATTGGCAAAATCTTTTGGATTCATTCCACCCCCTAGAAAAAGAAAACATTCCAAACAATATTGTATGATTAGACATTCTCTTCTTATAGAGCCCTTGCATGTGACATCAAAGCAGCTTAATTTGGAGAACAAAACAAAAGAATTTCAATTTCTGGAGAATTGGGAACCTATTGTTATGCCCCCCAGATTAAGCTGCATTCTGATGTACTGCAAGGGGTCTATTTAGAGGACTGGTTCGTTGGTAAATTGAAGATGGACCTATGCTATTAAATGTTCAAGCAACATGTTAATTATAGTGATGTCCAATATCGCCTTGAGCATTCGTACTGCAAGTTTGGCCCTCTAAACACCTATTCAAAAAAAATAGCTAGTGAGTAGAACTAAAGTCTTACCAAAACTATCTGTGTAGAGCTTGGCAAAGGAAAGCAGCGTAAAACAAAAACCATATGCCGAGCTGGCAAAACAGACATTCCCAAGCAAAGGGGAAACCACAATATCTTCATCCTCAGCAAACGTGCTAGAAAAATCAGAAATTACAATCCATAATATTTTCCAACTTGAATTTTAAAGCCATCACTCACAGTAATGGGCTCTTACGTGAGGTTCACTTCACATGCATTACATTCACTGTATTAACAAGACACAACAAATCCAGAGAATCTATGGTACCCAGAGAAAACACATCATGGCAAGGGAGAGAACAATGACTAGTAATGGATACCTTAATAAGCTGTTTACTTCATCGACAATGTGTTTTAACTTGTAATATGCATCTGCAGGGGGAAGTTTAAGTTCCAGCAATAGACGATCAATCTGTAAAAAAGTAATCTCTTTATTATACTTTGTTCATATTATGAAAATCAAGGGTGGAGCAACAGTAGTGCAATCACCTATCACCACTGTGGTCTCCTGTTCAATTCCTGATGAATTTCATCTGCCCAGAGTTTGTTTTAGCAGGGCTTCCAGAATAAGCTGGCAGCTCTGAGTGCCAGAGCTCCAACGATTGCTTTGAAGTTAACCGATGGTTAAAATTTTTCTTTTCTAAAGAACACCTTCTGTTCCTTGTATTGGATCACAGCCAGCTACTTCAGAATTATGACCACCTACTCCAAAACATTCTGAAAGCCCTGTTTCAAGGTTTGATCAGATTTTTTCATGGCTTATCCAAAAAAACGTAAACCTGTCACCCACATGTGCTATGCTTAAAGAGCTCATTTAGCTTTGCCTTTTCTGTTTGATCATTAGGCTATACATGTGTCCAATCCAAAATAGGACATTTCATATGCCAAATTTATATATGGCGACTAATTTAAATAACTATAGTTTTGCACTGACTAACGACCAACTAGCCTCTCATATATTTGAAAACGCTTTTAATTTTTCTATGTAAACATGAGAATAGGCAGTCGCTAGTTAGTGCATGGCATATTTCAATTCTGTGTACGAACATCTTTATTTTACCTTATTTATACAAATAGTTATAGCCAGCTGTTCTTGTACGGCATGCTTTAGTAGTCGCTCTGTGTTTAACATGACCTGTAAAAAATAGTGTTAAGAGTTACTAACATATTGACTCTCCTGTGTACTTGACCAGAGATTGAACAAGACAGTTATATATATACAATAAATGACTTCAACTATTGCTATCTATTGTTTTTCAGCCAATATGCCTTTTCTGAATTTGACAAACAGGATGCATTGCAGTCTAGCTTTGGTACGAACAACACCACAGCTACTCCCCTGCCATTTTAATCATAATTCACACCAATCAGATTCCACTATTTCCAAAGCTGTACTAAAAAATTAGATGCCTGTCGCATCATGCATATATGACAAGAAAGACCAAGTTTCCATGTGAAGCCATGGGAATACATGAAGCAAAATTTGATTTGTCTAATGTAATGACAAACTTGTTAAGACTTCAAATGTGATTGGCTGATAAACACTAGCTAGCCTCAGATAAAGTAGTGTGATGTGACAATGATTTGGACAGACCCCTTCTGATGCATCTATGAAGATCATAACACCATCACAGAGCCGATATGCTGCTGTCACCTCATCTGAAAAATTTACATGACCTAGAAATGAACAAACCAGAAATTAGCCATAACTAATGAAGGGAAGCATGGGTGGTGTGCACTGCTAATGTGTCACCTCTCAACAATGGGACCCCGGTTCAAGTCCTGCCAGTCTAAGGGGGGGAATGTGAGTTGAGTTGTTTGTTGGTTTTCTCCTGTGCTTAAAGGGTTTTTTCCTCCAGGTTCTCCMRWTWTTYMTCCCTYYACAAAAATCAACTTCTAAATTCTAATTCAATCTATCGGCTGCCTTATCGACTGGGATACCCAGGAGTGGTAAATGCATTAAAAGGATTTTATCTGAAACACTCCATGCATAATTTGGGTTAGTGTTTAGGTCTTGAATCTATGTCACTTGTCAGTTTTATTACTGGTTATTGGAGCCAAATAATCAAAACATTTGAATGAATGATGATGCAATATGGTGATGAATGATAATCAATGGTGATGATTAAACTGTGTAACTGATCTACATGTATCATATTTACATACTGACCTGGAGTATCAAAAATATTGACCAGGAAGGATTTGCCTTTGGTATCTGGGAGGACCAAGGAAACTGGAGTACTTTTTATGCTGACGCCTCTCTGGAACAAGAAAAATAGCACTTTTATTTAATTCATTGTGATACTGACCATAATGGGACGAGAAAGATGTGATGATGGTGAAAAGATAATGATGGTGATAATGACTGATGATGGTGATACAGTAGTGGTAGGTGATGATGATCACTAAGATAACAGTTAATAATAATAGCAATAATTAATGTGATATACCAAATACCAGTCATTTGGGTACATGTCCGTTTCAGTACAGGTTGTTTCGGTAGGTGTAGGGTCAGTTCGTTACATGTGTATAGGTAGTTTTGGTACATGTCTATATTCAAGTCATAATATTTAAAATTACGAACCAATAACATGAGATAACATGTTGCAAAATAGTTTTACGATTATATGAATCAGAATAACAGCGTCACGAACGCTTTGTGAGTCATGTTTCACTTCTCAATCAACTTCATACAAAGCGTTTGTGATGCCGTAATTCTGATTCATATTATAATAAAACTACTTTGCAACATGCTATCTCATATTATTTTATTGCAATATTATACATTTTCATTTGAATATAGACATGTACCGAAACAACCTAAATAATGTGTACCGAAACAGACATGTACCGAAATGACCAGCTACAGATATACCAGACCCCCCGGTACTGACCCCMCTAACAGATGAATCACAGATTTAATCAGAAATAATTGTTAAAAACTAATATAAAATTACCTCTTGTTCCGTGAACAGAAAATCTGAATAATTAAGCTGAAAATAAATAAAAAAGTTAACAGTTAACCTACGTTATGGCATGCTGTCAACTCTCTCCTTGTGGACACCCCGATATCATGAACACCTCACTGCTGCAAAAAGGAGCAAAATCCCCTACGGAAATTACTGTCAAMGAAATGACAGTAATCATTTCTCGCTATTGTATGGAAAAGGGCTTATCAGTTAATTACTTATTAATTTACTTACATCTTTGCCTTCTTTTGATTCAAGTTCTGGATGTGTTTGCTCAAACAAGCGGTCAAGGAAAGTAGTCTAGAGAAAAACAAAAAGGTATTGTAAACTGTCTGTAAAAACAATATTGTACACACAGCTAAGCATGTTTTGATGAATAAAGTGTATTCACCTTTCCAGAGTGTAAATGTCCTGCCAAAGTTACATTTCTGATAAGGTCTGGGTTGTCCATCAAGTCTGCGAGATACCTAGAAATGTAGAAAATGAAAACAAACTTTTAGATGCTCACAGAAAATGGGTTACAAATAAAATACAGTCAAACAATGAAAGACTGAAAATGAAACGAACAATTCTCTATTTTTCCCTTACTCAATGTCATAATTTGTCAGAGGAAGTTCTTGCTCAATGAGTGAGAATTTCTTTTTTACCACTGGTTTAATAATTGGTTCTGGGAATACAAAGCAGGATAAAAATATGTTAGTATGTAGTCAACTCTCGCCTTGCGGACACCCCGATATTACAGACTCCTTGCTATTGTGGACAGGAGAAAAATCCCTGGCAAAAATACTGACAAAGAAATGACCAAAATTAACTCTCCCTATTGCGGACGCTCACAATTACTGACACTAAGTGACGGTCCCGAGGGTGTCCGCTGTAATGAGAGTTGACTGCAAAGCCTTGATAAGAATATCAAATGACTAAGTTTCTGTTTCTGCCAGGGTTTAAGTGGCCATGTTTGAATAAATGACTTTGTGTGATTTATCAATGATTTCAAATGTTTTCATACTAAAAGGAAAACATCGTTCAGTTCCTTTAATATACTATTGTGGAAATATTATTCCAATATTCGTATTCAAAAATATAATAAGAACACTTTCAATTTATTGTAGAAAGCCAATGAATATGTTCCACTGTGAGTTAAAAAACCCACAAATACYMATGGTAAAGTAAAGAGTGCACAACTTCGGCCAAACAAAATCTTTGAAATTCCAWGGAACTTCACTAGAACACATGAATATTCTACACAAATTTGAGRCTGACCCTKAGCATMAGAGAACTCTAAACTRGAGTATTACATGTACCTGTTAATGGTTGTGTATCTTCTTCTTGTACAATTGCCTGACAAGAACAAAGAAAAAATATTTTTATTTAAACAAATAAGATAAAGCAGACAAGTAACAAAGTGCTTCCATATAGTACTGATGCCAAGATTTGATGATTCTTGAAGGTATGGCAATTATTTTCACCATAGCTTTTCACAAGTTMCTTAAGTTTCTTCAACCAATCTAACTCTAATATTGGCAGTGAATTACAAGGTTGGTGCTGAATGAAGTACATAATACTATTGTGCAGCAGCTATAGGTTTTCTGAGTTGATGCTTCTATTTTCCTCACCTCTACTTCTGGTCCATAAACTTCTTCAGCTGTTGGATAATATTTCTTATCCTAAGATAAAAGGAAAATTAACTTTAACTTTTTTGGAAGTTTTCAAGTTAATAGAGGTTTTAAAATCTTAATATGCTTKTTTTATAGTAAAAACAGAATAGAAATTGTTTATTTAGTTGTTCAACGTTTATTAAGTAAAATCATAGTGCACCTTATAAGTGAGTTTTTGGTTGAAACTTTTTTCAATGAGCTAGTTATAAAACATTAGTCTAAAATGGGAGGTGTGTCTTATATGTGTGACATGAGAAAATATGGCAGAAAGTTTTTTAACTAATAAAAATTTTTTTTGGCTCTTCTATATTATTGAAGAAATAGTCAATATAACACTCAGCAAGCTTAATCATCTAGTATTGAGTTATGGATACACTTGGTTGCCTTCTAAGCAGTCAAGAAGATATAAGTCACTTTGGCCTCTGCCTGACTTAGCAGTCTCCTACATGCATTCATAACTCAGTAGATGTACTACAAGTGTTAACCATTTCTTGATTGTCTAGTAATAAACGTACCTCATGTAAGACAATTTGCATGCGTGGTTCTTCATCTTGGTCCATTTGTTCTTCTTCATCTCTATCAGCCTACATGATTAAAAAATACTTGGTAAGCACTAGATCCATGTGGGTGCCACTTACTCTGATTCATAGGTTTATACGTTTCCCACCAATTTCATTACTACATTGTACAGTGTAGGTGTTGTCACAAGACACAAGTCTAAACTTTTAAGCTGGCAATAGTCTTTCCTTAATCATAAATATCATTAATACCAAACGCAGCTTCTTTGATGTCTGAAAACCAAGTGCAGATTAAGTACAAATGCGAGAAGGGTGCCTAGAAGGGTAACAACTAATGAACATTTCTGCTACAGCCTAACAACACCATAACTCAGGGTAAGATACAATTAAATATTGCACCAAAGATAGACCACAATGTATGGCCAACTCTCTCAGCATCGCAGAAAGGTCCATGCAGAACATATTGATCAACATGGATATGGAACATCTGATATATCTTTGTTAGCATGCACAGCACTTTGCAGAAAGGGCCAATGAACAGCACATTGATCAACATTGATATGGAACATATGATATATCTTTATTCAATAGCATCATGTTGGGAATAACCATTCAGTTTCCAAAATTCTTCGAAGCACAGGCATAAATCTAGGCATTATGTAGTTATATCAAATTTAGTTTTAGAACTTTTTTTGGAATATAATTTTTAATACAATTATTTTCCAAATTRATATCAAATTCACTGAATGTAGAATAAAACTGGACCATATTGCAAAGAAATCTTACATTAAAGAAGAAATATGAAGCTTTAGCTTATATATATCTGAATTTTTTTTTTTATTTTAAGCTTTTACATAGCCTCCATGCCCAAAAATTTATGGACACCCTCGATGCTAAAGTGAAATGTGAAGACAAGTTTTATTATATTTCTAAACTTCATGAAASAAGGCTTGCTGTATTGTTCTGTATCTGTATGTATCTATACTAGAAAATAAGYTTACTTTTAGCAAGTCTTTTTCACTGTCAACTAACGTACAAATGACGTTCAAAACCATGTGCAATTCTGATTCTTTGTGCTCCTTAATTTTAGAAACTTTATGGAAATACTTACGATAGCTTCAATATCATCCTCGGGTTCTTCTTCTTCGGACTCGCTTTCTTCATCGCTGTCCAGTTCTGGGCCGATATAGTTTCCGAACTCATCGTAAAGATCGGCGTCCATCTTGAAAAACGTGCAGGAAGAACACTGACGAGAGAGACTCGGGATAGCTCCTTCTCCGCTACAAAAACCTTTTTTTCTATGGGAGGGAGAAAATTGTGAAAAAACAAAACTTTTTTATTCGACACATTAAAAACATTATTTCATAAAACTATAAAATTTAGATTCATATCTAATATGAAAAATTAGATGGGACATCTATRATATGATTTCTATTTTATATTAGAAGTTTTTTCTATAAAGATAATTTACCTACTCACCCCTCCCCTAGTYGGTAGTGGCGAATGAGTCAAAGCTWTGACCAGCGGAGTTACCGAGTTCTCCAAAATCCAAGATGGYGGACGAACTGTATTTGCACGTGTTTTCATATTATTAAGAAAATTCCTGGTTTGGGACTTTTTAATTAGTTTATACACTGTGCACAACGATTATGGGTCGTTCAAAGAAGGGATACAACTGGAAAGCAAGACAAGGTAATCAAGAAACAGAGTCTTCTGACTCTGCGAAGGACACTGCTCGTCCTGGGGAGGGCATTTTAGATAATGCAAGTTTAAAACAAAACGATTATGGGACTTCTGCAGAAGATACTAACCCGTTGGTTATAGAAAATAAGAACAAGAATAAAAGTACGAAGATTCTTAAGGCAGAGAGGAAGAAAAAGCTATCGAAGACGCAACGAAAGCGTCTAGAGAAGATTGTAGAGAGAAAGCAAAAGAAAGCAAAGAGAGCAGACTTGTTGAAAGRATTAGAAAAACATGCTGTCAGTGAAAGCGAGCTTGAACTTATGAGTTCAGCAACTAGACTAGGACAATTGAATCGCAAAAGGAAGCTTTCAGAAACAGCTTCTGAAATTTCTAAAGAAACGATGCAGCAGGATATTATGTCCAGTGTTTCAAAGGGAAGAAAAAAGGCAAAAAAGGTTCGTCTGCTAAAAAAGGCTATCCAACCATTATCAAAGCCCGAGACGGTAGAAGAAGACGAKACAGAGTCGGAATCTGAAAGTAGCGAAGATGAAGACGAGGAAGTTCCAGATAAAGATTCATGTGATGAGAGTTCAGAGGAGACAAATTTAGATCAAGACGAGACTCAAGAAAGAACCAATTTGAAGGAAACTAGTGCAAAGATAAAAGAAAAAGAGGACAAGCCTAAGGACCCCCATGAAGGCAAGCAAAATCCTACCGAGAAGAAAGATTACAGCTTTCAAGCTAAAACAGAAAAGGTTTTTGCCAAACCAGCAGTATTTGTAGAAGTAAAAAGAGACGCTTCCATTCAAGCAGCTAGGCTTCAACTCCCTATTCTCTCAGAAGAACAAGCAGTAATGGAAGCTATAAATGAAAATGAAGTAGTCATAATCTGCGGGGAAACCGGAAGTGGAAAGACAACACAGGTGCCTCAGTTTCTGTACGAAGCAGGCTACGCTACTCGTGGGAAAATCGGAATCACCGAACCACGTCGAGTAGCAGCTGTCAGCATGTCGGAGCGCGTTGCTAAGGAAATGAACATGGGGACTGATAAGATATCTTACCAGATCCGTTACCAAGRCAACTGTACTGATAATACTGTCATGAAGTTCATGACTGATGGCGTTTTGCTGAAGGAAGTCGAGGGCGACTTTTTGTTATCGAAGTATTCTGTTATTGTCATCGACGAGGCTCATGAAAGGAGTGTCTTTACGGATATCCTCATCGGCCTTCTCTCAAGGATTGTTCCTTTGCGCAACAAACRAGGAAACGAGCTTAAGCTTGTAATAATGTCTGCTACGCTTCGTGTGGAAGAYTTTACTGAGAATACCARGCTGTTTCCGAGCCCGCCAATCARCGTCAAGGTCGACTCGCGTCAATTTCCTGTCACTGTTCATTTCAATAAAAGAACCCCGGATGATTACGTCGAGGAAGCTTACCGAAAAATCTGTAAAATCCACCGGACTCTYCCACCCGGAGGAATTCTTGTCTTTGTCACAGGACAGAGTGAGGTTCATAGTTTATGTAGGAAACTTCGCAGAACTTTTCCATATGACAAAGATGGCACTAAGAAGTACGGGAAAGGCAGTAATAAGGAATCGGAGAATGAGTTTGACTTGAACAAGTATCCCATTGTTCCTTTGACTGATGAATGTGAAGCCGAGGATGAAGTACAAGACACTGTARGTGACCAAGACGACGATTTTGATGACATGGATGATTCAGCGTACACCACTGGGGTGGACCACAATTTGCCTTTGTACGTACTCCCCCTTTATTCGCTGCTCGCCAGCAAAGAACAAGCCAAAGTTTTCCAGTCAGCTCCGGAGGGGACTAGACCATGTGTTGTGGCGACCAACGTAGCTGAGACGTCTTTGACAATCCCACACATCAAATATGTYGTTGACACCGGTATGGTAAAAAGAAGATTTTATGACAAGATCACTGGGGTGTCTTCGTTTAAAGTAACCTGGACGTCCAAGGCATCAGCCAATCAGAGAGCAGGAAGAGCTGGYCGAGTAGAGCCTGGTCACTGCTACAGGCTTTATTCTTCCGCAGTATTCACGAATGAGTTTGAGGAATTCGCTGAAGCTGAGATTTCTCGCAGGCCTGTTGATGACTTRATGCTTCAAATGAAAAGCATTAATATTAATAAGGTGGTCAACTTTCCCTTCCCTACCCCTCCTAGTGCRACAGCTTTACAAGCCGCCGAGACGCTCYTGCTGGATCTTGGAGCACTAGAAAACAAGAAAACCGTCAAGGGTAACATTAACGCTGTGATCACTCCACTAGGACGCTCCATGTCCAACTTCCCAGTCTCGCCTCGTTATGGAAAGATGCTTTGTCTTGGAAACCAGAAAGACTGCCTGGAGTATGTCATTGCTATCGTTTCTGCACTAACTGTTAATGACATTTTTATTGACGACATAAAAAGTGCAGGGTTCACRGGCGATAAAGAGGAACTCAGGAAGAAGGTTGCTAAAATAACGCAGCTCAGRCGCAGTTGGGCAGGGTATGGTGAAGCGCAGAAGCTAGGGGATTTGATGGTACTTCTACGTGCAGTCGGGGCAAGTGAATACGCTGGTAGCACAGAGAAGTTCTGCTACGAGAATGGACTTCGCCATAAAGGAATGATAGAAATACGCAAGTTGCGTTCCCAGTTGACAAATGTAGTCAAYCTGGTTAAGCCGGATTCGCAGGTGAAACTGGATCCACAGATGAAGCCACCGAGTGTTGAGCAGTGTATTGCTTTGCGTCAGATTTGTCTTGCCGGTCTTGGAGATCGCGTTGCACGGAGGATCCCTTCAGAGGAGTTGAATGATCCCAAACTTAAGAACGCGTATGTCTGTACGACTCTGGAAGAACCAGTTTTTATTCATCCAAAGTCTGCGTTGTTCAGTGTTCTACCTGAGTACGTCGTTTATCAGGAGATTATGGAGACTACCAAGATGTTTATGAAAGGTARGTAGTTTTATAGTTTTGCGTATCAAAAGAGAATGATGTATACAACTATTTCAAAATAAGGTTGATGATGGCGTAAGACATAGCGTGCCAGTTTTTACGACCATTCATTCAATAAAATATTGAAACTACTGAAAATTTGAAGTTCGGAAGCTCCAGTCTATTACTTGCAATCACCGCCAAATACTACTACCCTTTACTCTACCGTGGCAGATCCGGGGGGTGGGGGGTGCCCTGGGTGTCCTGCATTCCAGCGGATACCCACTAACGCCGTTATTACTCTTATACTTTTTTGTAGCAAAAGAAACATTTGAGACACCCCCCCCCCCCCCAAACAAATTCTTGGATCCGCCCCTGCTCTACCAGCCCGTATTAGAGTCGGGATTGCCTTCAAAAAATATATGGGATATKTTTGATATCCCAGGATGGTATAGATAACAAAATTTGATTCAAATCTGTATTGGCTCGCAGGGGTCACCGCTATCGAACCAGGATGGCTACCAGTACTTGTTCCAAACCAATGCACATTCGCTAAACCACAAGATGACCCTCCGCCTCGTTATGATGACGAGTCAGGAACGGTCATGTGTCACATGGCTTGTACCTTTGGTCCCAGGGCATGGCAGATACCCGCTCAAGAATTAGAATAYCCATCAGGTCTCGAGAAATTCAAATGGTTTGGGAGATTTTTATTGGAAGGCAAAATTCTTACCTCTCTTCAGAAGTACGTCCCCGTTCTCATTGGTAGTCCTTCATCAATGGTTAAATCTTGGGCCAAGCTACAACCTCGGACAGAAGTCCTTCTGAGTGAGCTAGCGAGTGGTAATGTTGATAGTAAAGAAAGACTTCGGGAAGCTTTAAAGGCTGATGGGAAGTTTTTACTTAATGCTTACAAGCAATGGATACCRAAGATCAAGCACAAAGAACTTGAAAGCTTGTGGAGCACTTTTTAGTGTGGTCACGTAAAGTATTCAGTGTTAGAGCGCAATGACTGTTCTACCATGGTTGCAGACGATGAACCTCCCTAGACGCTGTGCGCACTTCATTTTACCTTGCATTTTTACACTGG